ACTTATACTCTCATCTTCTAAAACTTCATTTAAAACTTGTATTTGGTCTAGCTCCGTCAGAGGACGACTTGTCGAAGGGACAGCCATTATAAACTACCAGGTCAGGCGTTTATTTTTAGACTCTCCGGTGCAGGTCTGTGGAATGTAACACTGTTGCCATATGTATACACATAGAGCTTTATTTCCACAACAGGCGAGTAAAAACCTCATCGCGCTGGCGTTATTTATTCCATACTTATGGGCATTATAAATTAAGCTAACAGCCTTGCGTATATGCACGTAAAACCACAAGCACTCAAATTTAAATGCCCGCGTATATACATGTAGAAACACGTCGAAAGGTTAAAAGCCGATTGGCAAGCGGCTTTGGAGAGAGTGTGGAAAGAGCTGAGGTGTGAGTCAGGATGTAGAAGTGAGTTGCAAGCGAGATGCTGTTGCGGACAGCGGTGGCAAGCGATAAACGATGAGTGTGGAAAGAACAGAGCTGTGAATCGGGTGTAAGAGAAGTGTGTGGTAGAGTCGAGAGAGTGGAGCCAACAAGAGGTCTGGTGTGGCGCTGAGAAAGGACAGGTCGGCTGCGTGAGCGGGCACTGTGAGGGGAGCCAACGAGAGGTCTGGTGTGGCGCTGAGAAAGGACGGTTTGGCTACGTGCGAGGCACCGGGTACGTGAACCGTGGCGGCCGAGGAGCCAGCATGTGTCCAGTGGGGTGCTACGGGCCGACGCTGAGTAAGGACAGGTCGGCTGCGTGAGCGGGCACCGGGTACGTGGACCGTGGTGGCCGAGGAGCCAGCGTGTGTCCAGTGGGGTGCTACGGGCCGATGTGTAAGCGAAGAGTGTGAAGATTGCCGAGCTCGGGGGACCAGATAGACTTGGAGGACTGTGAGAGTGTGTGCGCGCATGTTGAGAACAGGAAACAGAGACTCAAAGACTGTTGTTGTGGCAGAGAGTTGACTGTATGTGCAGACCTCTGTAACTGATTTAATTTGACGTGAATAAATCGAGGTTGACAATCCAGGGTCGAAATACCGCCCCACGTTACAATACATTCCTGCATGTCCTTTCTTCTTGTGTGGGCCCTTGCTTCAGTGTTATTTATGTGTTTCCAGTATTGTTGATAACAATTGTTTTACATTGTGATCCCACCACTTCTCTGAAATTTCATCATAGAACATATAGGCAACCCAGGCATTTACCTTAGCCAAACAGGACTTTGTAGGCCGGCCTTCCATGTGAATGAAGCACAGTTCCGAGTTCATGTCACTATAATGAAATAAATTTATAAAAATTGATTGAAGATTAAAGGTACCCTCAAGTAAATACTTTTTGTTCTTGTGTGTTTATCATTTTTTATTGTGTATTAAAAGGTACTCTGTCTTTTTTTAACAGTCTCAAGAGAATGCCGCCAGACAGGCCAAGGATGAACCACCTCTTCCTGAAGAAGACCTGAACAAGTTGTTTCGCCCCATACCAGTACCACAGCGTCTGAATCCTATGATTGTGTCCGGTCAGATCAACACATACAGCCAGCACATTTCACAGTTCTGTTCACAGTCTCTGGCAAAGTTGTACATCACTCAAGCTTTACAGACTGCCAAAGAAGGTAAAGCTGCTCCATGAACCAAGAATTATGGGAATTAATTACTACTATTTCTCCTGTCTAATAGTTTTGTTTGGTGCAAATATTGTAAACCACTTTCTTTCCCATTTATATGAGGAATGTCTACTGTTCTGGAGATGCCTTAGGGTTGTCAGATCTCTATCTGGACTTGTTTGTGCAGTTCGTTAAATCGTCCCTAGTTCAAAATTGTACATGTTTTCCAAACCTATTTGAATTAAAATTTCTGAAAATAATATTTATTTAAGAAGAAAATCTACTGTCTTTTGAGCCTGGACACTTATTAGGAGACACGAGTAAATTTTTTTTAGAATATTATGATTGGAGATACAGTTAATTGTATGCAAGTTATGAATTTCAGAATTCATTGCCGTAGACAATTGTGTCTTTTGTCAGTGGAAACAAGTACTGTTTAGGCAAAGGATAATGTATCTCCATGAGTGGAGAATAAATAAATTGGAATGTACATTGTGATTTTATTCTGTCCCTACTTTCGTTTGTAAGAACAAAGAGGCTTGCAGAGTTATATTCATGTGTATATGAGGAAATGCAGTGTAAAGTGCTGTCATTTTTTATGGTAAGAGGTAGCATTTGAAGGTAATGTATCATAAATATAAAATAATGATTAGGCAATCAAGTGTAATTATTTTTTCTTTTGGTTTTATAGCAGTAAATAATGAACTGTTGGAGCTAATTATTAGAAGCTCATTCAGTAAAATATTTCTGTGTACATTTACAGTGAAACCTCTATCCATCGATCCCGGAACTATCGTTTTCCCGGATGCATCGTCCGTTTTGTTCGGTCCCGGATACATCCCATATAAAATAATGTTACATTTTGCCGCTTCCATCATTCCTCGAACTATCGTTCTATCACATCGATCGTTCAAAAATCTTAGTCCCGGCCCACAATTTTCCCGCAATGATCGTTTCTGAGAAATTATAACGAAATTCACGCGATATTTTTAGAATTTAATTACGAAAGACGCACAATGTTTTTGGAATACACAGTAGCGGTAACCTGTTATGTCGCCCAACCAGCACAGATTCTTTTGGAATGAGGGGTGATCATTGTCAGAAATTTTATGAGTATAATTAGGGTGCACTCATATTTCGTTCCAGCAATGCCAGATGGCATGTGCAGTGTGAATTTCTTCACAAATGCTTTTATTACAAGTACAACGGAAAGGCGGGTGACACTTTTCATTCTTCTGGTTCATCTCGTGTCTTCTACAGCTACGTTTCGTTGCGTTCGGCAATAATAGTATTTCCATTCTTCCTGTTATTGTTCGCGAAGGGGGTGGGAGTGGTGAGGAAGCGGAAGACGACGAATGCGAGCCCGAAGCTGTGCCGAGTTTTGCCGAAGCATTGCCAAAAGTGAAGTTCTTTTATGCGCATAATATTAGTGAACGTGACGAGGAAAACATTTTGAACGTGGAAGGGGCTCTGTTTGGCCCAAAACATAAAGTTTCGACAAACCAGTTGTACATTAAAGACTTTTTGGTGAAAAGAAATAACTTTGAAAGAGAAACATTGTTTTTTTTAAATTTTTAATGCTTTCCCGCATCTATCGTTTTCCCGTATTCATCGTTTTTATTTCCCACCCCCACCGAAAACGATGCATCGAGGTTTCACCGTATATTCATAGTTGAAATACAAATTGTGATATGAGATAAAGTACACAATGCAAATCAGTTTAGGATTGGAAACACTGGAATTACTGAATTACACTCCTTGTATTTACTTTTCTGTCTTGCCATGCTTCTTATGGTTGCAACAATATCATTTTTATATTGTGAGTCATGCACGTTTAATATTTGACACATTCAATGTGCAATGTTCTTCAGAATGAGAATTAGAAACTCAGTGTGAATATGTTTTGATTAACCAGAAATCTTGTTACACTGTCAGTGACTTGGTGTGTACATGCTGATGAACAGCTGTACTGAGTCATCTGACTGCTCCTGCATTGATAGACAGTAATACATGGAATCTGCCAGACAATGATCTAGAGTCAAAACATGGTACTGTTTATGATTGAAAAACAATTTATATGTGGTTGAAATGTTTTTATTGATACATTATTTCAGAAGAGAACAGCATTGCCACAAAAACCATTACCATATGCATTTAATTCTTTGACAGTTGTGTCCTACATATCGTGGGATAGTGCTGTCCATATGACTCTGCCTCACCCAGAATTTCCCAATTTATAACTTTTTTCTACTAATGAGATCTGTATGTCAGCGACAAATTGTACAAACTTTGCCATCTTTTGATGAAATTTCTAAGTATTTTTATATTTCGTGCAGTATATAGGAGATGGTTTCCTAAGAAATAACTCGGCACTCAAAACACTAATGGCTGTTGTCTGTTTCACTTATCTTATCAAGTTGACTACTTTTTGTCCATGTTTCTAGCTAAACAAAATAATGAAATGCTATATTTTCAAGTTCTGCAATACATTATAAAAGCAAATAAAATTTGTTACATTGACATTTTAACATAATTTTTAAAATATATAAATTAGTGTTAATAACTATTATTTTGAATACGTCATAGGACTTTTAAACAACACTCATACTCTGCAGGTAGGTTTATAAACACGTTTGATTATATCTTTCTTCATGAATCCATTTTTCACTGTCTTAACACCCACACACTTTATAAACACACCAGATAAATTTATAAATATGAGTTTATTTACTTCATTCTTTGGAATCCATTTTTCACTGTCTTAACATCCACACACATTATAAAAAAGCAATCTTCAAACACCATATTCAATTCAGGCATTCATGATCTCAGATATTCTAGACTACGTATACATCAGCAGATAAAACTGAAGGTGCTGAGAATTATTGAACAGCGTTTATAAATTATTTGGTCCAACACTTGAAGAGAGTCGGTAAAAGCAGATGTTACTTGTGTCTATACAAATATAATCGTACATGTCATTAACCCTTGGAAGCTGAAATTCATCTAAATAATATTGAAAAATTCAGTCCCTGCCTCTAAGAAGAAATAAAAGTTATCCATTACAAAGCTCTATTGCTTAATGATGTTTGCAGAAATAATAGCTGTTTGTTCTAACAGTCATAAAAAATCCATAATTACAGTCTGTGGGTAAAATGAGAATTATCTGTTGATAAAATAGGTGTCGCACATAGATATCACTGGACATTAAAGGGTTAATTGTTTCTGTAATGCTAAGTGGATGATATTAGAGTAAAAATATTTTATGTTGATGTAATAATCCATGACTTTTATTACATAACAATTACTTTATTTTCTGCATATGCATTTATCCATTCATTTGGTCTCATTTTAATGACAGGAACCTTTTTATTTATTTGCTTTTCTGTTTTGCTATTTAAAATAAAAGCTCAGTCCTTATTTTATCCTAAAACTGATGTCACTCTTCCAAATAAATTGAATGAGGCCTGTGTCCTGCAGTAATGTACCAGACTGACAGAATGACATATAAACTACTCCATTTTTCCACAAAATGTCTTCTTGTACATTATCAAATTATTCTTTCTGCTTATGCTTAGTGTGATAGTACATAGTAATAATTTAACTACAAATATTTACAGATTGGGGTGTATCTGCTGCATTATATAAAGCAAAACAAAGAAAATTAAGGAAAAATCAATTACTGGTAACAAAAACAGAATTTCTGTGTTTAGTTGACATTTTCATGTCTGGAATAAAATGAAAATTCTCTCAACAGATTACATTCAAAACATTTTGACTACACCATCTGAAATATGCAATATGTTTACAAAGGCATTATTAGTATTAAAGTATCAACAATATGTACACGCTAATATTGATTGAAAATTACTGGTTTGCATATTAATGTGATTGATATAAGAAATGTATGTCTTATAAAATTTACACATAGAACCTGTAACGTGGTTAATTCCATTAATATGGCACAGGCGAAGAGATTCACGGGATTGTTACCGTGAAGTACTTATCAAGATGTTTCATCTAGACTAAATCTATTTTCATGAAAGAGACTACAGTAAATTAGTATGATCCATGTTGGTTTCTTATGAATGTCAAAGTACCATCAAGAGATGCAATAGAAGGAAATGATTTTCATTAATGATCTTAACCCTCTTTGATTAATTCTTCAAACATTTTTTCAGCTGTATATATTACGCAACATTGAATGGTAGGATGATGTGAACAGTGAATTAAAGGGACTGAGGGAAGCCATGTCAATTCTATTATCCAATATCTGCGTCTAGAATTTAATTCATGACCTGAATATGACAGGATTGCTAACCACTTCACAGAGATGTTCACACATGCACGCACTAAATATCTGTTATTGTTGTTAATGTAGGTTTTAATAATATTCTTAAAAACTATTATTCATATGTTCATAGTGTCATAAATTTTTATATTAGCCATTACTATACACATTGATTTATCATGTTCATTCTTATTGACAAGCATTTAAGTATGAAAGATTGATTTTTATTATTATAATCATGATAGTAGTGATAATGATGTTTGAGGGTGATAATGGTGCTGATGACTTATTGTATAGGGTCTTGCTTTAAAAGTTTATTTTTTTTTTCAGATCATATAAAAGCAGATAACTCTTTTATGTATTGGTTACTGTGTTCCATGCAGTTATGATGAATAACCTTCAGTTACTGTATAAATCAGTTGAATTTATATATTAAAAAGAATTAAATTATATTATTTAAGATATAAATATAAATTGTCAACAAATGTTGATGGTAATGTAACACTTCAAAGCCAACAAGGAAAATACAGCTGTTGCCTGTGAACACAGTTGTGTGGCTACTATACAACATTTGAAGAGCTGCCGTGAAAAACATTGCAACTTCCCTTCCATATTAAAAATGTTCTAATCTTCTTTCATGTAGGTGATTAGATTGTGAATTTGTTTTACAAGAATATTTTCAGTTGTGTAAATTTGGAAGGTAGTCATTCTTGGCAACTCTACAATTATTTAAATCAACCTCAGTGTGACTTTCTGCTAATATCTGCAGTGTTAAGGGTGTGAAAAGAAAGTTATAATAGACACTTATGATAGACTGAGAGAAAATTAACTTTAAATAATTCAGAAGCTCTTTAAATATTATGTATATTGTTAGGTGTATATACATCTGATCTTTCACCTTGCACAAATATAAGGGTTCCAACACTTTTCAATGTTGTATTAGTTGATAGTGTTTAAAATGGTGGTCGTATACTATTCTAAGCAATGCCTAACAAATGGTATATTAAATCATTCCGTAGTTTTGTTCCGTATAAAATGTAATTTATGTTTGCTTAATATAGTCTCCATTTGCACACATTACTTGTTGGTTAGTTATGTAATTTAATTTACTGAAGAAGAAATCCAGATAGTCTCTGGGTGAGTGACCGTTTGTTGTGCCAGGCGAGACAGAACTACCACACTACAAAGTTGTAAAATCTTACTGTTGAACTCAGGTCTGACACCACATGCTCAGCAAAAAATTCTTCTGATTTAGTAACACCATGCACCCTTTATACTGTACTTCTCATTTGAAATAATTAGACTCGTTAAAAACAAATTTTGTCCATACAAAATCTAAACTTCAGAATTTGGTCTTCAAGTTTTAGAGACTGTAAGATGTTACTAAAATAAATCCTGAAATATTTTCTTCACAAATAGTTATATTGATTGAGCTCTGAAAATCATGGCATTATGTATATTGAATATTGATTGGTTTGTGAAAATCTTTACCACTGTGCAGCTAAGAGCCATATTTGAGCAGTTTTTGTGCTGTACAATACTTTAATCTTACATAAACTGTAAAGATTACTCATTAAATGTTACAGTTCACCCACGAAAGCATAATCCCATACTGTAGTTAATCAATAGGCAGAAAATGTTATTAAAATTTGCATAAAATCCCTGTGAGATTAATCTGTCCTTGTTTGAAATTTTAAAAACTATTAATATTTAAATGAGTTTTAATTTACTATATTAAAATCAAAGTGTTTCTGTTGTTACAAAACAATCAAACTGTTTAACCCTTCATTACAGAAGCAATCTTAATTTGTCAAAATTCGTCTGCAGTGGATGGTTAAAAATTGTGATAAGTGTGTGTAGGTCTTAGATAATAACATAAACTTAATCAGACACTAAGGAAATTTAAACAATAAAACTGAAGTGATTGGGGCTTCTGCTTTACATCCTTTCACATAACCAGAAATATTTTGATCATATTCTGAATAGACACACTTATACTGTGCCTGGTTTATCATTCTTCCATTTGCTAACTGCCACCTGTGTTAATGAAGCATAAAGCTTTGCAGTTGATATATCAGAATATATTAATACAACCAGTCAGAATGTCAACAGTTTTGCATTGCTAAATAATGGAAATGGATCACTAATGAATATAATTTGCGCTGCGCATATAATCTTCAGACATCCAAAAATATTATATTGAATAACATAGTGGCTAATACTGAAGTGTTGACTGTGTCATGTCCAATAAGAAGCTTGTTTAATTCCGTGTATTTAGTAACAAGTCTTGAAGGTTCAACAACCCTAGTACCAAAGCTCATTATTGAACAGCCTGTATCAGCCACCTCACAACGTATCGAAGATTCTTCTCTGTCTTCTAGAAAGTTTCTCCACCAATATTTTGTGTGCATTTCTAATCTATGACAACCTAGCCTTGATTTTACTATATTAACTATACCACGTCTTCTTCTTCTATGGCCTCCTCAATTCTCCTCTTCCATTCAGTCCTCTGTTAGGTCCGTCTGTCCGAGGCTTTGATCGAGGTTTCGAAACAAACTATACCATGTGACTTTTATAAATCGCCAGATTCTCACTACTCACTAATTAACTGTTTCTGTCTATTGTATCATAATTAATTTTTACCTCTCTTAGTAAGGACATTGTAATGCATTCTGCTCTTGTCTTGAGATGTTTCTACTAGATAATGTTACACCATAGTCTTTTGTTTTGTAACCCACTTTAAACACTAATATTTACTGCCATGTGATAAAAATTGAGTGGCTAACATGAAATGTGGAGCAGACTTTCATTTGTCACACTGAATTTACATATGTGTTAACTGGTTGAAATGGTTGTATAGTGTCTGCCAGCGGTTCACTCAGGTATGCTTTAATACGTTGTGGTAGAGCCAGTTTATCAAGCTGCGATTGAGATCTCACTTGTTTAAGGATCACTGCACGACACCTGTCCTGGAGATTCACAAAGTCTCGCTTCATGAGAGCAAGTGTCATCTCTGTCTTGGCTGCTGTAGAACATATTATGGGATACAGCGGTTCACGCACCTCATTTAGTCCTTTAAAGGCAACTCCAAGACAGGTACCATCTTTGTAATATGTTAGAGTACCTGCAATGCCATCAAACAGAACACCAACGGTTGTCGCTTCATTTTCTCGGAATGGTTTTGTGTAATGTGTCCATCGACCGCTGTGCCACAGCAGACCTTTATGTGACAATCCCCAACCGTGTTCATCCTCGCCCAGGAGGTTTCTGAACAGATCGACATGCAGCCGTGCACGTCTGGTACCTATACCGAACATCATGCTTGTGCCAAAAATACGCTGCGAGATACAGAGCTCCCAATAATAACGACCATTGTTTAGGACTCTTGTTCCCCTTACACCTGCTGTACCACAGCTCCAGTCGGGGTGGAAGTGAGCTACCCGGAGTTCAGGACCATACAACCGCACTTCATGACTGCGGTCTCGCCGATTCCACGTCCAGTGGTCGTCGCAACCGTGTCGTAAAGGCAGAGTGGCCATCACCTGGTCCCAGGGCTACTCTCTGGCATGCAGACTTCCTGTAACACTACAGAATTATATTTCTCATAATTTAACATTAAAATAAGTTCTGTATATGCTTATAAATTGGGATAAGCGGTACAGAAAATATGAAATAATGTATTTGTAGCAGCAATTTGTGCCCATGTGTTGTCCTGACTTGGCACCGTGTGATTTCCAGTTGTTTCCAGACCTAAACTTTTGCCATATTCTTCTGGTGATGAAATCCATGCATCACATTGAAATATGCCATTTTTGCGGAGGCTGTCTGATGAAGTAACCACGAATATTTATTTGCGTTTAAAAACTATGCATTTGGAATATAAATTGTAAATGTGCCAGTATGAAAGTTATCACTTTACATGATATTTATACCAAGTTAAAAGAAAAATCCATCAATTCATTTCAAAATTTGTTACATGAAAGACGTATACACTAGAAAGGAGAGTAACCAATGCAAAAATAAATCTCTAAACACAAACATTCTTTAGCTGACCAATTCGGCTACCATAAACTGGTGAGCCAGATCAGCTAAGGTGGTTAAGTGACACTGGAATGGATGACGAGTTCAGTTCCTGATAGGGGTAGTAATTTTGTTACCACCAAATCAGAGACAGGTGCTGGATACCAAGGTTAAAACAGTTGGAGCCTGAAGCTGACCACTCACCTCCAATGAATGTAGAGGTTGAGAATGTGTGGAGTAAACTTCCACTTCTCATATACATTGTTATGGTGTGATGCTTTGGTATGATGATGCATTTACAAAATGGTCCAGGAAAGCTGAAAGGACGATTTCAAGAAGTATCACTGACAAGTGAGTGTAAACTGTGGAACAATTTGCCTCATATAAGTACCAGGTTGGCCACCCTGCCTCTTGCTGCATAGTCCGTTGGTCGATTTCTATGTTTTATGTAA